ACTAATAAAACTGAAAAAAAAAAAGACCATACCCTTTTATGTAATGATGTTTGAAAGGGCGAGACCTCAACCTAGAGGCCCTGATGCCCAGCGCTCCCCGCAGTCGGTCCCAGCGTTCCCCGCGGCCGGCACCAGCGCTGGGCTGGCCCCCCCCAGTCTGGTTTCCTGCCCTGGAAAACTGAGGGCTGCGGAGAGTGGCAGGCCCCGGGGCTCTGGGGAAGCAGGGGCGGCCCGAGCCCCTCCAACGGGGAACAGCGCCCTGGGCTCCTGGGTGCTGGGGAGCGGTCTTCGGGGAAGGACGCCTATCGAGGGGCGAGGACCGTGCCCTCCATCTTGCCCTGGGTCCTCCATTTTTGGGCAGAGCCATGTGCTCAGCGGGGCTTCTTCCCGGAAACCCAACCCTCTGCTAGCCACACCCAGGATTTCTCTGGAGTAACCAATGATAATCCAGGGAAGTGCATGCCATCTCTATGACCACATCCTGTGTAATGAGACACCGACTCGTGCCTGGCCAATCGGCAGGGCCCACAGCCCCCTCTCCTGCCCTTACTCCACCCCCCTATAAAACCCACAGTCCCATCAAGCTTCTCTCTCTCTGCCACCTGCTGCTGTGCCAGTAAGGAGGGCAGGGGAGCCAGACTTAGGTTTGAAATAAAGGACTCTGCTTTTGCATCGGACTCGCTGGCTCCCTGGTGGGCTCTTGGGAATCTTGAAATCTGGGCACAACAGAGGTCAGGGGGGGTGTTTAAGAAAGAATTCATTTATTTACTCACCTCCTCCCGTAATGTCAACCATTACAGCCCTAAAACCAATTTAGTTAAGCAGTTATTTTTGTCGACCTTAATTCCTGCATCCCCTTCACTCCATAGCTATTCATTTGTATTGATTCTATTTAATCTTTTTTTAAAATATATATTTCTTTATTGATTTCAGAGAGGAAGGGAGGAGAGAGAGATAGAAACATCAATGATGAGAGAGAATCGTTGATCGGCTGCCTCCTGCATGCCCCCTACTGGGGATGGAGCCAGCAACCCAGGCATGTGCCCTTGGCCAGAATCAAACCTGGGACCCTTCAGCCCACAGGCTGATGCTTTATCCACTGAGCCAAGCTGGCTAGGGCGATTCTATTTAATCTTTATTTATTTTCAACTGTAGCCCCTTCATTTCATCACTGTGAATAAAGAATTTTAATTTGCCAACAAACTGTAATGTGAATTTTGTTAAATTGTGAAATAATTCTTATTGGGTGAAAATGTAAGTGTAAGACAGATATAAGCCTTTGCACTTATTTAATAGATTAATAACTATCTGATATGTTTAAGATAAAAGGAAAAAACAAGTGTATACAAATGTACTTTTGCCAAATAAAGGCTTCTGGGTAGTTACAAGAATATACACATCTCACTAACTCCCACTAAAAGTATTTATTAAAATGAAAATTGCTTATAAAGGGAGAGAGCTGTATCAATTTTAGTGCATGCCAGAATTACTAAGGAACTGTTAGTACAGATGGCTTGAAGAAATCACTAATGGGTGAAGTATAACTGCCTCCTGAGATCACAGGAAAGTGGGGAAGACCAAGGCACTGATACACCCCCCTAATTTGGAGAGGAAAGAACTGTTGAGTAAAGGTAGACTACCGGGTAGGTGTATAAATAGAGCACTATTCTTTTATCACCATGCATCAAAAGCTTTTGAAAGCTTCAACTGTGGCAGGCCAGAGGAATCTTAGTTCTTACTGTAAAGGTATCATTAAAGTTATAAAGTGGCACCTAGGAAAAGATTTGGTCTCCTCCTCCAGGGCACTGGGGGGGACCCTCTTTCCGATCTTTGGAATCCTAAAAGCAGCTTTTTTAGGGACCTGGGTGAATCCTTTCTCCTGGAACTTAGAAGGAAAAATGGAAGAACTTTCCTATAGAAATAAGGAAAAGTTGATTTGTTTTGTTGAGGTTAATTTTGGCTTCAAGGGATGAATTGCTAATGACAGGAAGTTCAGACTTTAAAATTGTATTGAGTAGCAGCACATTTAGAATACAAGTACAACCTGTCTGACCAACTTGGAAAGATATGCAGCTGAGCATAATTTAAAAGGAGGCGAAGTTCTTACTGTAAAGGTATCATTAAAGTTATAAAGTGGCACCTAGGAAAAGATTTGGTCTCCTCCTCCAGGGCACTGGGCGGGACCCTCTTTCTCACATGCACTTTCCGATCTTTGGAATCGTAAAAGCAGCTTTTCTAGGGACCTGGGTGAATCCTTTCTCCTGGAACTTAGAAGGAAAAATGGAAGAACTTTCCTATAGAAATAAGGAAAAGTTGATTTGTTTTGTTGAGGTTAATTTTGGCTTCAAGGGATGAATTGCTAATGACAGGAAGTTCAGACTTTAAAATTGTATTGAGTAGCAGCACATTTAGAATACAAGTACAACCTGTCTGACCAACTTGGAAAGATATGCAGCTGAGCATAATTTAAAAGGAGGTGATTATATTCACTCAGCTATGGGGTCTGCTTAGACCAGTGGTTCTCAACCTTGGCTGCACATCAGAATCACCTGGGAATCTTTTTAAAATCCTGATTTTCAGGCCTCATCCTCCAGAAGTTCTGTTTCTTTGTTATGGGGTGGGGCCACAACATTAGTAACAAAGAAACAGAATTTCCGGAGGATGAGGCCCAGAAATCAGGATTTTAAAAAAAGATTCCCAGGTGATTCTAATGTGCAGCCAAGGTTGAGAACCACTGGGTTAGACCCATTCATTTTCATTTCAATGGCAATATTGTT